CTGTCACCGTGCCTGAAGCTCAGAGAAATTGGTGGTGCACTGCAGGCACGGGTAGGGGTGTAGAACGCAGGTTCAGAGAGATCCGAATCCTGGAACTGTCCCATGACAGCAGAACTGTCACTGCTTCTGCTTCATCTGTCATGTGGGGGCTGACTTCACAAAGTTCTTGAAGTTCAGAAACAGTCTTTAAAGTAACAGGTTTTGGATGAGATAATAAATAATAGTTGTAATTTCCTAACAGTTTCATTCAGACCTGGTATTTCTGTTTTATCATGAACTCAACTGGAAACTTTTTCCTGTTTTGTAAAAGATTTCTCAGCCCTCCCTTCCATTTGTCTTGGACGGTAGTGTTCATGCTCCCTTCCCTTGCCCACATCGTTCTGCTGAAAAATCCAGCTCTCCCTCTCTTTCCTCTGTGAGCCTGTCCTTTGCTCTGCTGGCCTCTTACTGGGTGTAACTCCACGTCGGTGCCACCCTTTTATGCTTTGTCACTTCTGACCTGATCTCTAAGAAGTGGGTCGCCTATATTTCTGTCTTTCTGTCCAGGCTGATTTTCACATTTTCTGAATCATGGAGCTGTCCTCCATGTGACCTAGAAAGCCCTTTGATGATCCATATTTAGCTGTATCCATCAGTCAACAGATGTCTGGGTAGTTCCAGGCCCCCATGAGCTCCCTCTGCATCCTGTGGTTTCAAGTTCCTGAGTTGTTAAAAAGCTGCCATCCCCTGCTCCCCACCCCACCCATTCCAGGGTAGAAGGACAGATACCCACTTTAGCTGCTTATTCATCTGTTCATTTAACAAATATTTCCTCATTACCAACTACACGTTTGATTCTGGGTTGGCTGCTATCCTCTTTGCTTCCAAATTGCATTTTCCTAATCTGACCCATTTAGAGTAGTCCTCCATGTTTTCTGATTATTACTCTAGACCATGTGCTGAGCATTCAATTAACTGGTCTCTTCTATCTGCAATGTGTCCTGACCCCTGGGAGACTTAGAGGCTTAATTGCAACCCTAATGCCTTGTAATGCACCTGCTATCGCATGCACAGATTTGAGGCTAACGCAGGTTCATCATGGCTCTCTCTAACGGAGTTCAGCTCACAGATGAGGCTGCGGAACTCTGCTTGTCATCTTGCAACGTGGACATGAAGAATGGCGTGGTACCCACGTGGGGAGGTCACCCAGCAATTTAAGTAGCTAATTTCCAAAATCTCTTGGTTTTCTGTATCCCTGGCTCCCCACAGAGATACCCATGAGGAAAGAGGCGTCTCTGCTTTTTGAGCTTTCTGGATCTTCCCAATAGATAGCATCTCTTGGCATCTGAGAGGCAGCCTGCCATTCTGTTCTCCTGTGGAACACAGATGGTCCAGCCCACGCCCATCACTAATGAGGATCACATGCAGAGCCTCCTTGCTGGAGGCTCCCTCTAGCAACCCCAGAGCTCCTTCTCTGTGCAGGCCGGTCACTGATGACCACGGCATGTAAATCTTAGAATGCTGGTTGCTGTTCTCCCACTCAGAACTGAACAAAAAATCAATTAGGTAGGCCTGGATATACTCCCATTCAGCTAGAACTTGAAGACACTGGGTTGAGGGAGGGTTTCCAATTTGATACAAGGGTAAGGTTCTGGGACTCAGCTGTCCATGGAGACTGTTATATTTAAATATTCACATGCACTGGCAGTTCTTCAGTAGGAACATGCCCACATAGCTAGACAGAGGTTGAGCAGGCAGGATATTAATTTGTTCATGCCATGCCCCTTTACCTCAGCTGGTGATAGGATTGGAAACAATCAGATGACAATGGTGAAAGCACTAAAATTTGATGGAAAAGTGTAGATTTCGATGGAAGACAGGCATACTTCAAGACCTAGTTCTGCTGTGTGCTGTCTGTTGAACAAGGTCCTTCACCTTTCTACGCACTCATTCCTTTCTGTATGAGACAAGCACAGTGCCTGTATTATACCTAGGCTGTGCTGAGGATTAAAAGAGATGGCACACGAAAAGACCTTGACACTGTGCTTGGCATCGAGTAAACCGTGGATGGGGATTCCCTTTCTTCTTTTCTCTCTAATAGAAAGTCGAAAGAGGCACTTCAATATGGAAGAACATCAGGTTGAGCTAAAAACAATGATTTCATATAAACGTCTATACCATCCTCTCTCATTTTATTTAAAACTTCGTTAATATTTGGAATGTGAGCTGTTTCATTTTCTTTGCCATTACAAGTCTGAAACAGACCTGACAGTTGTTGAATTGGAGAAGAGTTCCACTGCTAGTATGGACCCCAATAGTAAGAATATTTTTGTTGTTGTTGTTGATTTAATCACTGTAACTCATTCCTTTAACCCTTAGAGCTGCAAGAAGAGGTCATGAGGGTACCAGTGAGTCAGGGAAATCCTACCATTATGAGCTGGTCTAACTGGTCAGTGTTCACTGATCAGAAATCGCTCTTGGAGTAATTTTTTTTTTCATTCTTTCAGAAAAGCAAAAATTCCAAGAAATTCTGTCCAAAGGAATTAATAGATCTGTTGATTTAACATTGATGCCTACAAAAACAAAAACAAAAACAAAAACAAAAACAAAAACAAAAAAACAGTTTCAACAGCTTCTGGGGCAAGGTAGATGAATCACGGGTCGTTCTCCACCAACCTGCTCCAGACCTTCCTATAAGAGCAGGAGGATGTTCATTATTCCCCTGCAAGGCAGGACTCTCCGTAGTAGGCCAGTCAAGGATGGTCATTAAAGTGAGTAAAAGCTGACCTCGCTATGCTGTGTTCTTTAGACCTGGTTCTATTCTCTGGCGCTGCACAACCTCTGGCAACTGTCACGTCTTCCCTCTAATATTTTTTCTAAGCCCCTTTCCAGTTCCTTTCCCACTCAGGAGACAGAGTCCAGATCCTTGATTCTTAGTTGAAAACATGTATAGAGAAACAATAAAAACAGAAAATCAATCACATAGAATAAATAAAAATGAGTGTCTTAAGAATAGAGACTCTATGAGATCGGCAGGTGACATGGTGAAGGGCGCTGGACTCCCACATGGCTGACTGTGGTTCAAGTCCCGGACCTGGCAGCTTGCTTTCTCGCTTTCCATCTCTCTCTCTCTCTCTCTCACATTCTATTCCTATCTAGTCAAATTAAAATAAATATTAAAAAAAATAAAGTTAAATAAAATCATCTAAAAAAAAAAAAGAATAGAGACTCCTTGTCCTAGAAAAGCACTATTTTTGGAATATTCTTGCAGAGAATAGCTACTAGTGGCTATTTACATGTTCCTGTTTCCACTGAGAACAGCAACAACAAAATAAATGGTGGGCTTAAGGCAGTGTTTTCTTTTCTATAGATGTTGACAAATAGAGGACTCCACAGTACATTACTGAATTCTCGGAGCCTCTCTCTGTTTCTCCTCGAAGGGATCTAATTCTTGACCACAGAACTTCTTTTTCAAGGAGTATTTTATGGATGTTCATGTTTTGTGAGACACATTTTAGGAAATGATGATTTCGGATATGCTGTGGACTCTTATAGTAGGCGTTTGAAATAGGTTCTTGACTGGTTACTGCTGGACTCTGAAACTGGTGGCCAAAGAAAACTACGAGGTGTCCTTCCTCCGAGGGTTGGTCGAGTCTTTCTCCTCCCTCCCCTTCTCCCCTCCTTCATCCACTTAACGTTAGCATCAGGCATCCACCTGCCTGGGAGTTCCGATGCACGGCCTGTGACATAGGGAATCCGAGTCTCCATCTTTCCCATCCCCACGAGTCTATTTTTATGGATTCCGATTGTGGTGGTGTTGCACAGAAGGCACAGCCTAGCTGGGACAGGAGGTAACTGAGAGTTTTGGCCAAGAGGAGAGGGGGCTAGAAATGGGAAAAGTTGATGCAATTATTTTTGGCAGGAGTTGGAACCAAAGCAGCAGGAGAGAGTAAGTTTTAAGACTCTCTGGCAAAGTAACTTCCTAATCTGTCACTGGGTATGTGTAAAAAAGTGATTAGTGGGTCTCTATATTTGTCATGATTACTCACAAATATGCAATTTACATAATATATACAGCACATTAAGTACTATGTCACCTTATATAATGTGCATATGTATAATGTATATGCATGTTATGTAACGCCAGTCTGGAGGCTCTTCCTGGCTCTGCCAAGTATTTCCTAATTTATTTGGCAATTTTAACGTATCTTTTCCATCTGTGGAAAGAATTCTCTTGAGAGGAGCTGGTCTCTGACCTGAATATAATCATCCCACTAAGTCTATCTCCACTCTCAATTCACTGGGGAAACCCCACAAAGACCAAGCTATATTGAGACGCATCTCCTAGCCCATCAGTCCAGGAATAACACAGCATATCGAAGATTTCCCATTTCATTGTTTTTCTCGCTAATGGGTAGAAGCGAGGAGTACGTGAGAACATGTCTGTAGCGTGGTCAGAATTAGAATAAGACAAGAAATGAGGGGCTAGGTTCTCCCCTCACTGTCTAACTGTGTGGCTTTGAGAGGTCAGTAAACCTCATTAAGCCATGTTCCCTTCATTAAGACTGGGATATTAATCGCTTCTTTGCTAACCTCAGAGGCTGCCGTGAGGATCAATGAGGAGGGACTCTACAATAAAAACCCACAGTCACACTGTATAAAGGATGATTTGCAAGTCAAGATTAAACACTACCAAATTTACCAAGGTTCCAAATCAGAAGTGTAATTCTGCTGGCTTGCTGCACTGTGCCTGTACGGGGGACGTAGCAGTTTCTCGAGCAACATTACAAGTCCTGTGCACTAGGCTAGAGTGAGTCAGGGGTGGTCTCTGCACCGCACCTGGATGAGACCCGCGAGTCTCTGAGCATCCCTTTTACCTATCAGTAGTGCTGTGTCTAAGCAGCTTCAATCTTGGGGATCAGGGCTGAGACACAAATCTTCTGTAAACATCTTAGACTGATCGACCCCAACCCGAGCCTGCCTGCCTCAGTTTCTGAATCAAGTGGCTTCCCAGATAGTACCTGTAGTTATTCTGGAGCTCGTTCGTCCCATCACCGAGGATCCCATCGTTAAGGGTATTCTTCAGTTGGCCTGGTTTCCCCTGGCCCCACATTCTGCACTGGTACGGTGAGCAGAGTGGTCCTTGGTCTTGGTCCTAGGGGGCTGTATCCTTCGAAGTTAGGCTTGGCTCGTCCACCATCTTAGTATTCCTTCCCGTCCAAAACGTCCTGACCAATGCAAGGAGACCAGAGGCAGCTTCGTGGAGCAAGGTCAAGTGGGCCCAGGTTTCTTCCTGAGGAATCTCAGAAAGGGACGGAGGCCCACGTGAGCAGAGGGGCCAAGGCAAATGTTGCTTTTTTACCAGGGAAGCTCTGCAGAGACTTGCCCTTGGGAAAAGGGGGGAATGCTAGCCCCAGGTGAATGAAGCCCCTTGAGCTCTGATGCCCCTCCGTTCTAGTCGGCAGTACCTCGCAGACGGTGCCTTGGTCCTCAGTGTGCTTCTCTCCAAATTAAGACAGGATGACCACGACGAGGTGACACGTGGAGAGTTCACCTGGGTGATCTGGCTAGTGCCTTCCCCCCCACTCCGACCCCTTTCCAGTTTAGGCCAGAGGGAACTCTGGGAAACATCATGAGGCCCTTGCCTTCTTGCCTGGGCCGGTCCGATCCACGCATGAGCTGTACGGTTGTTCTCACCTGGGTCAAGTGGAGTGACTTCTCAGTGGGCAAAAGTGACCCTATTCCAAGACATGTGGATTCTTTTCTATTACATTTCTTCCTAGTGCTCCTGCGCTCAAACCACGTCAGCCAAAACACTATAGACAAATCTCTGAATTCTCAGAGCCTCGGTCATCTCATCGTACAAATGGGAGAGTAATCCTGCCCAGCCTCTCTTTCACAGGGAAATGTGCCTTGATAATAAAATAGTGGAATGCGGGCAAGAGGACCTTTCTGCTTTCATTTTCTACCCCTGTCCTACCTATGTGTTTTTCCAATCAGGAGGAGTCCATTAGTAAATAAATATTTGTATGTATATATTTAAATATATATGCTACATATAAATATGCACACATGTAACACTGTCAGAAGGGCCTTCGGGTCACACTCTGGGAGTGGTAAGTGCAAAGAAGCAGAAGGAAACCTCCCGATGATTTGTCTCCTGGTTCCCGAGCTAGGAGCTCAGTCCTTCCCTCCCATTTTCTCTGCCTTCAGGAATAGTCTGCCACCAGGGCCTGGAACTCAAACAGGAAACACACTTTGGCTTGAAAAAGAAAGAAGCTGGGGGTGGTTTTTTTTTTCTCTTCCCTTTTTACACAATATTATGACATCAATTTGAAAAATAAATCCCAGTTTCTCTGCCTTCCCTCCCAGGTGTTCACAGAACTAAGAAAATAAATACCACATCTAAGGTGCGCTGTGCAGCTCTGGGGCTGCTGGAGCCATCTCTAAACAAACACGTGGCCACCAGGAGAAGGCTCTGGGAAATAACAAGTGCCCACTGACAGCGCAGAGAACCAGGAATGGAAACCCAGCCTCACAGCCCTTCTGCCTCCTCAGCAAGTTCAGGGCGGAGCTGTCGCCCAGAGCACAACCCAGAAACCACGTGCGCTTGCTGAGCCCTGCCAAGGCTTGCGCTCTGAGAGCTGGAGGCTGCACTGTCTCTGCACAGAGGGGCCTTTGTGCGAGTTCTCTGGAACCGG